GACAGAGATTTGTCCTGACTGTGGGCAAGGCAGGAAAACTGTAGCAACAAGTAACTTAGTACCTAATTTACAGAACAGAATTACTGAGGTAAAGAAAATGCCCTGCACTGTGTGCAGCAACAGAGTAAGATGAACCTGGCTGAGGCCAGCCTGGATGACCGAACATAAACTAACAGGGATTGTACATGTTCCTTGACAGTAGAGCCCTTACATTGAACATGTTTGGCCTGCTCAGGTCCCCAGAACCACAAGCAAGACAAAACAAAGAAAAAACAACTGACTGGGAGCTGGAGAGACACCTCAGCCTTTAAGAGCACTTACTGCTCTTGCAGAGGACCCGGGTTAGGTTCCCAGCATCCACACGGCGTCTCACAACTGTGTGTAACTGCAGTTCCAGGGGATACAGTGCCTGCCCTCTCCTGAACTTCCTGGCACCAGGCTCCCACAGGGTGCACAGATGGGCAAAACAGTTATATGCATAGAATAATTCTAAGCTTACAAAGTGACAGCAATTAAAAAGGCATGACTTTCAAGGCCTTAGGGTAGGACTGCGAAAAGAGCTTGGTGGGAATGTTTGTTCTGCACTCTGCCTTGGGTTTCATCCTTAGCACAAAAAGGAAAAAAGAAAGAAAAATTTTCATCTCGCCCAAATTCTATATATGAAGGAAAGATAAAGTACAAATTACTGAGTTTTCAGGCAGTTCAAGTTAAAGTGATCTCACACTGTGCGAGTATAAATGTTCCAAACTTAAACAAATAACTACCCAGAAGAGTGCCCAAAGTCTTTAACCTACTTACCTTGAATGTGTCCTCGCCAAAGGGAAGGGACTCCCCATAGTATCGGTGTTCAGCAAATATCAGCATAGCTTTCATGTCCTCAGCCACATCCCACATGAACCCCTGGGAAGAGTCACAAATTCACAAGGAAAATTAGGCCATGAAACATCGCATTGAACCTTTGCAAACCATATGAAATAGATGTTAAACCAGACCAGGAAGAGCTCTGAAAAATGTATAATTTATGTGTGTTCCACAGAAAAATCCACAATAGCTGTATCATACTGTACTAGAGAGGAAAAAAATAAGATCAAATTATGCATATACTAAGCACTTCGTGTTTTCTTATCCTGAACCTCTGACCCTGAGTCAACACTCTATGTCAGTCTTCAAACTCCACTGTGCTTACTATTCTAGGAAGGAGGTGAGATATCTAAGCTCCCCTGCCCCACAAGACATACACAGACAACATAAAGTAATTAACAGATAAATAAGCATATTAAACTCCCCTGGAATCTTAATCTTATATATTAGGAAATTAGCTAACAGTAGTTGTTATTAATTCCTGCTTACAATGTGTCAGATACTGTTCTAACCACTACATGTAATAATTCACCTAACTAGCACAATAAACAAGAATTGGGCACTGTGGTTTTACAGACAAGGACACTGAGAGCCAAGGCTCAGTGTTCTCACAGGTGGCAGAGCCAAGACTGAATATAGGCTGTAATGCAGAGCAGTCACCAAAGGCCACTAGACTCCCTTACTCCCCCCACACTGATGGCTTCTCACTAATCATCTGCCTCTTTCTCTTTGACTGGATTGTGACCTCTGAATCCTTCCTAAGGAAGCATCCCAGGCAGATAGCATCAATTGATTAGACAGTTTAGTGGTGTAGAATATTATTTTAAGGTGTGTTATTTTTGTTTATGTTGCATTTGTTTAACTCTGTGATGCTGTGTTACTGTGCCTGTCTGAAACACCTGATGATCTAATAAAGAGCTGAATGGCCAATACCAAGGCAGGATAGGCGGGGCTGGAAGGCAGAGAGAATAAATAGAAGTTGAAATCTGGGAGGAAGAAGTAGCTGAGAAGGAGCAAGAAAAGAAGGGGCCACCTATCCAGCCACAGAGTAAAAGTGAAAGTAAGATTACAGAAATAAGCAAAGGAAAAAACCCAGAGCCAAAGATAAATGGGATCATTTAAGATAAGAAAAGCTGGCTAGAAACAAGCCAAGCTAAGGCTGGACATTTATAATTAAGAATAAGCCTCTGAATGGATGGAACTAGAAAGAATCATCCTGAGTGAGGTAACCCAGACCCAGAAAGACAAACATGGTATGTACTCACCCTTAAATGGATATTAGATGCAAAGCAAAGGTCAACCAGGCTACAATCCACAACCCCAAAGAAGCTAGGTAAAAAGGAGGACCCTAAGAGGGACATACATAGAGGGCCCCAGGAAGGGAAAATAGTTAAGGTCTCCTGGGTAAACTGGGAGGGGTGAGAAGAAGGGAAGGGATGGGGATGGGAAGAGAAGGGGCTGAGATGGTCGAGTGGAGGGAGAGACAGAGAGAGAGCAGTGAAAGAGATATCTTGGTAAAGGAAAACATTAAGGGGTTAGGGAGAAACCTGGTGCTAGGGAAATCCCCAGGAATCCACAAGGATGACACCAGCTAAGACTCCTAGTAATAATGGAGAGGGTGCCTGAACTTACCTTCCCCTATAATCAGATTAGTGACTACCCTAATTGTCATTATAGAACCTGCATCCAGTAACTGATGGAAACAGATGCAGTGATCCACAACCAAGCACTGGGCTGAGCTGTTGTTTGAATCTTAGATGGTCTTTTAATATAAAAACCCAGAGCCAGATATCAGGGTGAAAGCTGAAAAATCAGAGAAGCAGAACAGCCAGCCACTAGCTTTTACCTCTACGAAATCCTCAGCCTCAAGAGAGTGAGTCCCTCTTTCCTCACACCTTATATACCTTTCTCTGTCCTGCCATATTACTTCCTGGGATTAAAGGCATGTGTGCTTCCCAAGCAAAGGCTTGAGATCTCAAGTGCTGGCATTAAAGGTGTGTGCCACCACTGCCTGACCTCTATGTCTAATCTAGTGGCTAGAGGATACTCTGATCCTCAGGCAAGTTTATTAGGGTCCACAATATATCACCACACTGAGCTCCTAGACTTCACTTGAAGAGGAGGGGAGGGATCACAGGAGCAAGTGAGGTCAAGATCATGATGCAGAAAACCACAGAGACAGCTGACCAAGCTGATGGGAGCTCATGGACTCTGGCCAGTCAGCTGGGGAACATTCATGGGACCAAACTAGGCCCTCTGAATGTGGGTGACAGTTATATGGCTAGATCTGTTTGGGAGCCTCTGGCAGTGAGACCACGACTTAACCTGGGTGCATGAAATGGCTTTTTGGAACACATTCTCTAGGGTGGGATAACTTGCTCAGCCTTGACACAGCGGGGAGGGGCTTGGTCCTGCCTCAACTTAGTATGGCAGACTATGTTGACTCTCTAAAGGAGGCCTTACAAGTCTCTAAGGAGAGGAGGAATGGGGAGAGAAGGGAGGGAGGGAGAGAGAACTGAGATTGGTATGTAAAATTAAAAGCTCTAAAAAAAAGTGTATTAATTTAAAAAAAAAACACATGAAAAAAAAAGAATAAGCCTCTGTGTATGATTTATTTGGGAGCTGGGTGGCAGGCCCCTCAAAAGAGCAAAAGAGCAAAAATAACCAACATCAGTTTAGCATGGATTAAAGCCATGTCAATCCTGATGAATGCTGCTGGTGTTTAACAAGTTACTATTCCCTAACAAGGCATAGGAACCTCAAAATGGCTTTGGCTGTTTGGAGCAATCTCTAAGGAATTAAAAGAGCTACCTGTGGGGATAATGGACAAGCTAGCCTGATACCTGGGGTTTTCAAGACCCCACTTCTCTTTCACAGAGCTGCTCACTCCAGCCACATATCCCAGGTCCAGCCACACCCAGCTCAGCACATCCTCCTCTGCATGCCCCAGCCCAGCAGAGCTGTCCATCTCCCCTCAACACCAGAGTGCTGCAAAGAACTCTTCTACCTGCTGCAACAGAAACTCACATGTATGTCTTACAGCACCAGACTATGAGCGTCTTAAGAGCTGACCTCAGGTTTTGGCAGGAAGCAACTTAACCGAACAGATGCATGGTACAATTAGCAATTATTTGCTTGCATCCATTTCAAGGGTATTTTTACTTTTCAAAAGAGGACTAAGTAACGTGTTAACATGTATTAACACTGTAGGTGGACTTTCTTTTCTGCCACCAGCCCCAAACAGACACAGAGACGTCTTACTCATTATGAAAGCTCAGCCTTAGCTTAGGCTTTTCCCACTAGCTCTTATAACTTATATTGACCTGCTTTTATTAATCTGTGTTTTACCATGTGGCTTTTTCCTTTCTTTAATTCTGTATGTCTGACTCCTCTGTGTCTGTTGGCATCTCCTCTGCTCCTCGACTATCTCCTCCTACTTCCTCTCTCTGCCCGGAAGTCCCTTCTATCCCTCCTGCCTAGCTCTTGCTCATCCAGCTCTTTATTAAACCAATCACAGCAATATATCTTCACACAGTATACAAACATCTCACAACATAACACTATATTTCTACAGGTACCTTAATTTTATTTAATTTTCAAAACAACACTAGGAAATAGATATTTTTATTATACCCATTTAACAGATGGGAAGACTGAACTGTAGAGTTAAAAGCCTACCCAAATTTGAACAACCAACTAACAAAATCAGAATTGAAACCTCTGCATCTGGCTAACATCTTCACTACTATAGTCTCTCGGGAAATCTGCATGCAGAGGTGAACATACAATTGTGATGTTTTAGTTGCAAAGGAAGCTGTCTAGGACCAGGGAGGGTGAGGAGCTGCCCTTCTGGGATCTCTTTCTGGTCACCTCTCCGGAACTGCTCCTACACCGAGTGTCTCTTCAATCCTGCCCTTCTAATGACAGAGTTTGCCCCGCAAGCCTTAACTCCCACTGCGGAGCCTGCACAGCAGTGGGGTCTGCTGGAGGCAGGACCAGCTCTCTGCCTAGATTAAAGAGCAGGAGAAGTTGCCCTGTGGCTCTGGCACAAAAGGGAAGCCACATCTAAAGAAGAGAAAAGAGATGAGGCAGTCCTGGTTTCTCACAGAGTAACAGCGGGAACCTGAGGGGCCATGAGACTTGATTCCAGCTGTCACTGACTTAGGTCCTGGATCTCCTTTCTTCTGCTTTCTACATATTTAGACTCTTAACACTTGTAAGGGGGGGGGGAGGATCACAAACGAGGAATTCAGGAGCTATGAGTGAATTCACATCTTTATTTCAACTGAGCTCACGGAGCAAGCGTTTTCTGTGGGTTTCTGAAATCCAGGCACCATGGCAGACACTTCCGTTCTGGATAATATGATATTTTCTACCTTACTACAATTGAGCCTGTATTTTTGATAGAAATTTGACACTTTCTACTCACAGGCTCCTGACATGCCAAGAAGGACGATGTCATCTTTTCGTATGCTCTAATTTAAGTTTTATTAATGGATTTAAGTATAATGAAAGGTAATCAGAAACACAGGCATGGAAGCAAGTTAATGGTCCTACTATGTTAATACTCATTAGTATAAAAGAAGTGAACAAACAGGAAGATCAACTAAAATACACCACCAGCTTCACCTCTGCCCTCCCTACATGGTGGTAAAACTTGCATCTTCTTACATTTACTTACGCTTTTGCTTTTGTTTTGTTCATTTATAACAAAGATATACTGGGCACCTACTACATGCTTAATATAATACTAAACTCCAAACGCACAATGCCAAATAAGTGTGTGAAAAGTCCAGCCCTTATATTTATCTAGTAGAGGCCATAATCAAAACACACAATATGTGCTGGGCATGGTGGTGCACACCTTTAATCCCAGCACTCAGGAGACAGAGACAGGTGGGTCTCTATGAGTTCTAGGCCAGCCTGGTCTAAATAATGAGTTCCAGAACAGCCAGGACTGTGTAGAGAGAGACCTGTCTTAAATCCCTGCACCAAAAAGAAAGGAAGGAAGGAAGGAAGGAAGGAAGGAAGGAAGGAAG